CAAGGTAAAAAAAACTTGATAGGCGAGTGCCGCAAACGAAAAACTATCTCTAAGTCATGGTCACAGTCACAGAGCTATCTAATGTCCGTATAATTCATCATAGCTTATTACCAATGAGCATCAGCTCCGCATTACTGCGGATGAGTAGGTACTGTGAGGAATCCAGCTTTGGTTCATCGCTCGTTCCCGCTGCTTTTACAGGACAACGATTGATTTTAATTAACAGGCGTTATCTAATGTATAACCTCACCAGACTTTACGCCGACAGGCTTTTACTGTTTCCAGGACAACTTCTTGGTAGGGTAAAAAATCAATACCCGAAAGGCAGTACAAAATGCCTCTGAAGAATTTATTGGTTCCCGTACACTTGACTTCTTTATGAAAGGCATTGTAGAATTACCACTGCGCTATCAGAGACGCATCGATATCAAGGATACATATTTTGACAACAGAAAAAAAATATTACCTACCAACTTTCTGTATACTAAGCGGCAACTTCATATGTAAAAAATTAATATATAGGTAATAGACATTATTAGAACGAAATCTATCACTATTTTATTGAAACAATGACATTAATTCCACCATTACTTCACCGTGTGCCATCCTTATGGTATGACATATTTTTTAATTTGTTCTACAATGCCACAGCTCAATTAGTTACTAAATAAACACGCAATCATTAGGCCACTTAACCTAATCCCAGAGTTACCTCAACCACGGGGTTTAGGCATTTGTCGCTTGTCGCTAAGGCCCATCGGTTTGGCGTTTCATAGAGCGTTCGTGTCAATCTGGTAAATTGTTGGACTATCTAGCTCTACCTGCCAACCGAGATGGGTGACGGGACTCACCATGCCAAGGAGTTTTGGTAGCCTCTTACAACCAGAAAAGCCGTAAACTCTTCTGGGCACAAGTAGTAATTGCAAAAATGTAAGTCGAACAGAACGGCTTTTTTTATTGCTTAGATGGGTGGACGAGCTCACAGCCCACCTGGTGTTGAGTGGTTACTGGAGCTCATAGACATTTATAACGTAAATGCGTCACCCACCTTGAGATATAAGTTCTAAGGTCTCAAGTATAGTTACAACGGCTGCCCCATCCTTCAAACCGAAACGCATTACTGCTTCATGGCAGAAATAGGCAGGATGGTCGTGCCTATCCGCGCGGACTCACAAGAGGTCCTACCACCAGTAAAGCCAAAAACTCCGTCATCGAGCCCTAAATCGACACTGAGGGAGATCCGAAGAAGAGGCAACGATCATGCAAAATCCCACTTACCGCCACCAAATCGGTGCTGAGAAAGAAAAGCTCTCTCTCGTATTGGTGGTAGCCCCGTGCTGGTTGCCCACCATTAATAACGCAAACTTTATCTATTTAGCGCACTTACTACGCGATGCTATTCCTTAATTGTGAAAATCACCCGAGAACACATCGTCTTCTCGCATTAAAACTGTACAATCTCAAAACTTACTAATTTTACAGGAGAGTGTTTTAAAGGTTTAACATGTAGTATTTTTAATATTAATCATCTTTGCAACATTTATTTTTTACCAACTACATTATCTGTGTTTTAAAGTAAGATAAAATTATGTATTAATTTTGTTAATAGTCGTCAAAACATAGGTAAACTAAAAAAAAAAACAAAAACTAAACTACGCTCTTATGACAGTATTTATGAGAAAAATAATGGTGATACCAAATGATTTCGCATATTAACTCAATTTCGAATATTTTTGGAAATTGTGCACTTTTAATGCGAAAAGACGACATATTGGATTTGCTATTAGTTTCATATTTCCAATAAAAATATCCTGGTCCTGTCTTAAGGTCGGAAAAGGCGCATCGCTTGAGCGTACTCATTTTTATTCATGGACTCATGGATGACCTAGAGGACCGAGCTAACACCTAATAGAAAGATCACGCAATAACAAAAAAGAGATATAACACACTAAATCTTATTAATAAGAGTTTCACTTCCAGATTCAGATATGTCCAGATAGTGCCAATCAATATTAAATTACATAATGCATTTTCCTTATTGTCAATCTTTTTACACGTATCAGATAAGACTCGTATTGAAATATCTTAGAGTCTAAGTCCATTTAAACGACTGAGCTTCCGGTGGTTTTTACAAAGCAATAATAGATTATACTATCGAAGTATCGTATCGTAAGATGTCAACAAGGTGATAGGTATTAGAGTTCTTTATTTGTTACGCGATTATTTGATTAAATCCGACTTCTTTTAATTGTTAATTATTTTCTTTTCTTTTAGAATAGCAGTGTATTTCATATCGGGAGTCCATTAAATTATAATATATTTTTTATTGCTTCGATGGGTGGACGACCTCACAGCCTGGTATTAAGTGGTTACTGGAGCCTATAGACATCTACAACATAAATGTCGTCACCCACCTTGAGATAAGAGTTCTAAGGTCTCAGTATAGTTACAACGGCTGTCCCACCCTTCAAACCGAAACGCATTACTGCTTCACGGCAGAAATAGGCGGGGTGGTGGTACTTATCCGTGTGGACTCACAAGAGGTCCTACCACCAGTAAATGTATAACATGAATAAAATAAATATTGAATAAGCATAAAACTGAAGAAGAGGGGGCGTGGTTCGCCGATCACGCCACGCTACGTCACGAATAAGCATAAAACTGATGAAGAAATGGCGTGATTTACCGATCACGCAATGTTACATCAGGGTCAACGTGCTTAGTGCAAGTTTTTTAACGTTTTCGATAACGTAAAAGTTAACGCAAATTTGTATGGAGTTGAAACGTTTGCCTACGTTTGCCGGTAGAGATATTGTTCCAACAATATTTAAGTTATATTTTACGCTATCGAGAACGTTAAAAAATTTGCACTAAGCACACATTCCACGTCGGACGCTCGATGGTCAGCCGGAGAAGGAAAGGAGCTCATTCTCATTCTCTTATTGGCACCAGGAATAGACGGACGCTGTATATGTATAAGCGTGTTTTACCTTAGCTACCGACATTTTGTCAAACTGTATTTTGTATCGTTTTAATTATATTTTTTTAATATTTTGAGTCATTCTTACTAAATATTGGGTATATTTTGCACTAAAACTTTTTTTTAATAATAATAATTGTTCATTTAATTTTTAAACCTAATGTATTTGTAATAAATTTGCTGTTAGAAAAGTCAGCTCTGTCTTAATAAACACTTTTTAGAATGAATTTTATTCATAAACATATTTACATTATCAGATTGCTGGGTGTGAAGTCGTTTTGTGACCCAGATATGCACGTGTTTCATATATGTATACCAAATTGGGTATTCACAGGATTTATCATTGGCACACAAGAGCATGCTATCCAAACTGGTCGGCGTATATATAATAACTACTGGGCGTATATATAATATAAGCTCGCACGCGTACCTATAAAAATCCTGCGTGTTGCTGTCGCAAGGCTCCCCTCCTTGCGTGGATGCTGGCCTCATGAGGCTTTCTAGGGAAAATACACATGATGGGGTCTCGCGTCCTCCTGGGGCAGTGCTTTTGGAAGAGATTTAGTCGAGGCCAGACATTCGGCGTTGACTGTTTTACGGTGGAAAGGTCGAACTTCAACTCCCTCCCTCCTTTTTTCTCGTCTGGACTTGGGACCGGCATTGGCAGAGTTTAAAGCATTGCAAATTTAAAGTAATTAGCAGAGCGGCAAAGCAGCAGATTTGAAAGAGACAGCCGTTAGACAATACGATTGAGATATAAACCTTATTTCGTCTCAAGAAGGGTGAGACATTCACGTTATAATGTTTATGAGATTTTGTACCCTCTTTACCTTAGGTGAGCTGTGACCTCACACACCCAACTACGCAATAAATAAATAAACATATAATTGACTCAGAATACAGAATATATTTAATACGGTATGATGGAGTGGCTGGTTCCCTGGTGCTTTTAAGGTAATGACGTTAGCGTCGCTGACGCCATTCTCTATAACATTATCATTGCCTTCTTCGACATCTTGTAGCGGATGCCTCTAAAATTACTTAGTCTGGCCATAAATACTGTACAAAGGAAAACAAAAAAATTTATATGGCAAATAACATTTATTACTTTTACAATGTGTTAGTTTAATACATAAATATAAAACAATTTAAAGTATAAAAAGCTTATTCAAAGTGGTCTCCATTGGCTGCAATACAGTCTTTTAAACGTTGAGGCCAGTTATCAATAGAAGCACACACTCTTTCCATGGGAATTTTTTTTTTACTGCCCGATTGGCATACGGATTGTTTTAGAGACTCCAAATTATCATGGCGCTTAGAGCAAGCCGTACTCTCTAAAACTGACCATAAATCATAATCCAGCGGATTAAGATGGGGACTAGACGACGGCCAGTCTTCAGCTCGGCGACGACGAGTCGTGGAAGGCGATGCTCGACTTCTGCGAGTGCACCATCTCTCAGAAGGAAGCGGCGGGCCGCGTGAGAGACGCACAAGCCCGCCGCCGTCGAGCGGGGGGCAGGGAGGCGGATCTCGCCCAAGCCCTGGCCCTCTAAAGCCTTCGTCAAACAGAACGCGTACATACTTAGCGCGCGTCAGAGCGCTAAACTAACGCCCGCTATGACGCCGAGATGTATTGTACTACTACGGTATTATACCGTCAAACAGAGCGCCAGCGCTATAGCGCCTATAGCGCTGGCGCTCTGTAGTACTCTACTAGTAGCTCTGTAGTAGTACAATACAGGTACCTGTCCTGGTGAAACTGGAAAGGCCTCCGGGCCACCAGTAATTCTTCAATCATTAATAAAGTACAATACATCTCGGCGTCATTGCGTAGCGCTCTGACGCGCGCTAATTACGCGTTCTGTTTGACGAAGCCTTAACTAGCGCCGCGCTATGACGCCGAGATGTGTTGTACTACAATGGTAATATACTGTCAAACAGAGCGCCAGCGCTAGCAGTACGCAACGCTCTGTCGTGGCGTTAGGACGCTTTGACGTCAGGCGTTGTGTATTAAAATACTGGATAATGTCTGAGAAATTAATAGAATTAGTTAGGAAATACCCATGCTTATACAATACGAAGGATATTTCTTATAAAAATGTAACAATTAAGATAAAATGCTGGGAACAAATCGGAAAAGAGATTAATGAAACTGGTAAGTAATGTGAATTTGTTTATTGATTAAAATAAGACACAAATTTTTCACGAGTTTCGAATGCTGCAGTCGTTGATCTTCTATTTGTAGTACGATGAGTTATTAGAGCACGTATAGGTTCGCTTTCGTCTTCCAACTCTGGAGATGAAATTGCTGTTTCTTGTTTTGTTCGTAAGTAATTATGTAAACAACATGCAGCTTTAAGCAAGGGTGTTGTTGGGGCTGCCTCGGTTCTGTAGCGCGTCGGGAATGTTCGCCGAGGCACGAGTCGACTGTTTCTTTACGACCATGCGGAAAAGATGCACATCCCTGATTGGCCGGGTCCGGGTCAGCCCTAACAGCATCCTGAAGGCATACCATTGTACCATGGTTCACTTGCGGACTAAATAATATTAGTAATAATAATGGTTGGTTCGAAGTAGGTATCAGTGGAATGGAATATTTGAAATGTATTCCACTCATAGCTACTTTTAATAAATGTATATTTTTTATTTGATTGGTTTTGTTAATGTTAAGTATATTTCAATGATACTATGTACACATATGGACTTATTGTTGTCTGAAATAAAATAAATCATTCATTCATTCATTCATTTAATAACATCAATTGCTGTGTCTACGTTACAAAAATGCGCCATTTTTGTGCTAATATCCCAAACGCATTTCAACCACCCGACGTGCCCTGCAAAGTCTTTTATTAAACTTTGTTTTTCTTTCGTCTTGTGTGGCTGAAGCTCTTGGGAAAGGACGCATCAAATACGTTTTTAAAGCAAAACCTTCATCGCCAATAAATACATGAGGAACGGGCTCCTCGGTGCCTGGAAGAGGTTTATCTGATAGCAGAGATTTTCCATGGATATATTGGCGATAAAACATTGAGTTCTCGAATATGCTACTATCATTATGACTCCCGTAACTACCGACCTCGATGACGGTGAATTTATAACATGGATCAACTATAGCAAGAAGAACTACAGAAAAAAAAAATGTGTGCAATTCACACGTGGTAGAAGTGAAACCTTCCAAAATTAAAATACAATTATCCTAAACGTCTTAAGTATATGTAAAATTATGTCATTAGTAAATAATTGTAAGGTAGCGCCCTCTGTGAATTGATATTTTAATTTCACGTATAATCCTAAATTAAAATTCACTACAAGAGCTTTCATACACACGTTAGTATTAAAAAATCTCACAGATGGCGCTGTATTAAATAGTATGTATGTTTCTGTCTCATTCTTTGCTGGCTTCATCCTACACATTTTTGTATTTGTGTCTCTTACCTGTCGTTTTTTCCGTTGCATCCGGTTTGAAATCACAACGAATCTAAAGAAGTTTTCACTTCAAAACTTCTTGTAACAAAAATATTCTGATCCACTATTTTTGGGACACTTTATAGCGACATGTTTTCCATCGATACTACCGACACAATTCGGGAAGTTCCAGGTTTCCCTATAACCTTTCTCTGATTGTATCCATGTCTCAGTTCAGTAGGCGATGGCATATATTCTGGTTGTAATGTATTCCAGATTTCTTTACAGACTTCTTTCACAATACCACCAACAGTTGAACGACCTACTCGGAAGGAGAAGGCTATGGTTTGGTGTGAATCACCCGTAGCTAAGTACCTGAAACAAAATAATACAGTTTGTTTATTTTACAGGTGAATCCGCCAGAAAAAAATGGAAGAGCTTGAGAGACAACTACATGAGATACAAAAAAGAAGTTGCAGGTACTACAGGACAAGCTACAAAAAAATTTAAAAAATGGCCTTGGGCTTCCCAGTTACAGTTCCTTGATTCAACTCTGACAGATCGAGAACGATCTTCAAACGTTCGAGAACCTACACCGGAACCATCGTCAGATATAGCAACTCCATCGCCAGAGATACAATTACCAGAGACGCCTCAATCAGAGACATCTCCACCACAGATACGCTCGCCAGAGATACCTCTGCCAGGGACGCCTCATGCAAACTCTATAAATTGTTCACGAACTAAAAAAATTATTAAAACTGACAGTGAGATGGATAAAGTTACAAATTTTTTACAAAATAGAAAAAAACAAGAGTATGATGCCATAGACCACCTATTCCAAAGTTATGTCCAAACATTTAAAAGTTTTTCCAAACACAAGCAGATAAAAGCCAAGGTAGAACTAGCCAAGTTATTTGCAAGCATAGAAGCAGAGGAACTGCAAGAAGACGTTCAGATATTGAGCAATTCACCACATTGTTCTATTATAAGCACAGAAGACTCCGTCGCCTATGAAGTGCCTATTCTACATGAGACTAATTTTGGAGCATCGACATCTTCAATTGAATTTCATAATGATAACGCACTAAACATGTATTTAAAAAAATAAATATTTCTTACTTTAGACAGATTACAAGTATTTCTCTTGTAGAAATAGGCGTCCTCCAGTTTGTGGTGCATTTGCTTATTTTAGGGATGAGCAGGTCATGTAGTTCTTCGAATAAAACTTGAGACATACGAAAGTATGTAAAAAAACGATCTTCATGTGATGCAAGCTCGCGACACAACCGATGATATTCTCCTAAATCATTTCTCTTTTTATTAATGTCGTGCACCCATACTCTTTTTTTTTTTTTCTGTGACCGTGATAGAGCATATACGAGGGCTGCACTAAAAGTATTGGGAATGGAATATTTCCACTGTTCCTGTCATATTAAAATCTTTTTAATTGAAAACTCTTTGGTTTTAAAAATCGAATACCATTTATTTATTTAAAAAAAGATTCTCGGTCTTGTCATGAGGTTTTGTCAAACTTGTTTAGTCGTTGAGAAAATGGAATTGACTCGAGAAAATTCAAGAGCGATGATTTATTATGACTTTCGAAGTGGTTTAACACAAAAACAGTGTGTTGACCGGATGATTTCTGCGTTTGGTGATGAAGCCCCATCCAAAACCACAATTTATCGCTGGTTTGCTGAGTTTCAACGTGGACGTGTCAAGCTCAGTGATGATCCCCGTCAAGGTCGTCTAAAAACTGCAGTCACCCAAGAAAACGTTGATGCTGTGCGTAAGATGATTGAGGAGGCTACCCCATGATCTGTAAGCGGAGTAAAATGTCCCTTCGGAACAAGGTGACACTTTACAAAACTTGCATAAGGCCCGTCATGACTTACGCGAGTGTGGTGTTCGCTCACGCGGCCCGCACACACATAGACACCCTCCAATCCCTACAATCCCGCTTTTGCAGGTTAGCTGTCGGGGCTCCGTGGTTCGTGAGGAACGTTGACCTACACGACGACCTGGGCCTCGAATCAATTCGGAAATACATGAAGTCAGCGTCGGAACGATACTTCGATAAGGNATCATGGGGTAGCCTCCTCAATCATCTTACGCACAGCATCAACGTTTTCTTGGGTGACTGCAGTTTTTAGACGACCTTGACGGGGATCATCACTGAGCTTGACACGTCCACGTTGAAACTCAGCAAACCAGCGATAAATTGTGGTTTTGGATGGGGCTTCATCACCAAACGCAGAAATCATCCGGTCAACACACTGTTTTTGTGTTAAACCACTTCGAAAGTCATAATAAATCATCGCTCTTGAATTTTCTCGAGTCAATTCCATTTTCTCAACGACTAAACAAGTTTGACAAAACCTCATGACAAGACCGAGAATCTTTTTTTAAATAAATAAATGGTATTCGATTTTTAAAACCAAAGAGTTTTCAATTAAAAAGATTTTAATATGACAGGAACAGTGGAAATATTCCATTCCCAATACTTTTAGTGCAGCCCTCGTATATGCTCTATCACGGTCACAGAAAAAAAAAAAAAGAGTATGGGTGCACGACATTAATAAAAAGAGAAATGATTTAGGAGAATATCATCGGTTGTGTCGCGAGCTTGCATCACATGAAGATCGTTTTTTTACATACTTTCGTATGTCTCAAGTTTTATTCGAAGAACTACATGACCTGCTCATCCCTAAAATAAGCAAATGCACCACAAACTGGAGGACGCCTATTTCTACAAGAGAAATACTTGTAATCTGTCTAAAGTAAGAAATATTTATTTTTTTAAATACATGTTTAGTGCGTTATCATTATGAAATTCAATTGAAGATGTCGATGCTCCAAAATTAGTCTCATGTAGAATAGGCACTTCATAGGCGACGGAGTCTTCTGTGCTTATAATAGAACAATGTGGTGAATTGCTCAATATCTGAACGTCTTCTTGCAGTTCCTCTGCTTCTATGCTTGCAAATAACTTGGCTAGTTCTACCTTGGCTTTTATCTGCTTGTGTTTGGAAAAACTTTTAAATGTTTGGACATAACTTTGGAATAGGTGGTCTATGGCATCATACTCTTGTTTTTTTCTATTTTGTAAAAAATTTGTAACTTTATCCATCTCACTGTCAGTTTTAATAATTTTTTTAGTTCGTGAACAATTTATAGAGTTTGCATGAGGCGTCCCTGGCAGAGGTATCTCTGGCGAGCGTATCTGTGGTGGAGATGTCTCTGATTGAGGCGTCTCTGGTAATTGTATCTCTGGCGATGGAGTTGCTATATCTGACGATGGTTCCGGTGTAGGTTCTCGAACGTTTGAAGATCGTTCTCGATCTGTCAGAGTTGAATCAAGGAACTGTAACTGGGAAGCCCAAGGCCATTTTTTAAATTTTTTTGTAGCTTGTCCTGTAGTACCTGCAACTTCTTTTTTGTATCTCATGTAGTTGTCTCTCAAGCTCTTCCATTTTTTTCTGGCGGATTCACCTGTAAAATAAACAAACTGTATTATTTTGTTTCAGGTACTTAGCTACGGGTGATTCACACCAAACCATAGCCTTCTCCTTCCGAGTAGGTCGTTCAACTGTTGGTGGTATTGTGAAAGAAGTCTGTAAAGAAATCTGGAATACATTACAACCAGAATATATGCCATCGCCTACTGAACTGAGACATGGATACAATCAGAGAAAGGTTATAGGGAAACCTGGAACTTCCCGAATTGTGTCGGTAGTATCGATGGAAAACATGTCGCTATAAAGTGTCCCAAAAATAGTGGATCAGAATATTTTTGTTACAAGAAGTTTTGAAGTGAAAACTTCTTTAGATTCGTTGTGATTTCAAACCGGATGCAACGGAAAAAACGACAGGTAAGAGACACAAATACAAAAATGTGTAGGATGAAGCCAGCAAAGAATGAGACAGAAACATACATACTATTTAATACAGCGCCATCTGTGAGATTTTTTAATACTAACGTGTGTATGAAAGCTCTTGTAGTGAATTTTAATTTAGGATTATACGTGAAATTAAAATATCAATTCACAGAGGGCGCTACCTTACAATTATTTACTAATGACATAATTTTACATATACTTAAGACGTTTAGGATAATTGTATTTTAATTTTGGAAGGTTTCACTTCTACCACGTGTGAATTGCACACATTTTTTTTTTCTGTAGTTCTTCTTGCTATAGTTGATCCATGTTATAAATTCACCGTCATCGAGGTCGGTAGTTACGGGAGTCATAATGATAGTAGCATATTCGAGAACTCAATGTTTTATCGCCAATATATCCATGGAAAATCTCTGCTATCAGATAAACCTCTTCCAGGCACCGAGGAGCCCGTTCCTCATGTATTTATTGGCGATGAAGGTTTTGCTTTAAAAACGTATTTGATGCGTCCTTTCCCAAGAGCTTCAGCCACACAAGACGAAAGAAAAACAAAGTTTAATAAAAGACTTTGCAGGGCACGTCGGGTGGTTGAAATGCGTTTGGGATATTAGCACAAAAATGGCGCATTTTTGTAACGTAGACACAGCAATTGATGTTATTAAATGAATGAATGAATGAATGATTTATTTTATTTCAGACAACAATAAGTCCATATGTGTACATAGTATCATTGAAATATACTTAACATTAACAAAACCAATCAAATAAAAAATATACATTTATTAAAAGTAGCTATGAGTGGAATACATTTCAAATATTCCATTCCACTGATACCTACTTCGAACCAACCATTATTATTACTAATATTATTTAGTCCGCAAGTGAACCATGGTACAATGGTATGCCTTCAGGATGCTGTTAGGGCTGACCCGGACCCGGCCAATCAGGGATGTGCATCTTTTCCGCATGGTCGTAAAGAAACAGTCGACTCGTGCCTCGGCGAACATTCCCGACGCGCTACAGAACCGAGGCAGCCCCAACAACACCCTTGCTTAAAGCTGCATGTTGTTTACATAATTACTTACGAACAAAACAAGAAACAGCAATTTCATCTCCAGAGTTGGAAGACGAAAGCGAACCTATACGTGCTCTAATAACTCATCGTACTACAAATAGAAGATCAACGACTGCAGCATTCGAAACTCGTGAAAAATTTGTGTCTTATTTTAATCAATAAACAAATTCACATTACTTACCAGTTTCATTAATCTCTTTTCCGATTTGTTCCCAGCATTTTATCTTAATTGTTACATTTTTATAAGAAATATCCTTCGTATTGTATAAGCATGGGTATTTCCTAACTAATTCTATTAATTTCTCAGACATTATCCAGTATTTTAATACACAACGCCTGACGTCAAAGCGTCCTAACGCCACGACAGAGCGTTGCGTACTGCTAGCGCTGGCGCTCTGTTTGACAGTATATTACCATTGTAGTACAACACATCTCGGCGTCATAGCGCGGCGCTAGTTAAGGCTTCGTCAAACAGAACGCGTAATTAGCGCGCGTCAGAGCGCTACGCAATGACGCCGAGATGTATTGTACTTTATTAATGATTGAAGAATTACTGGTGGCCCGGAGGCCTTTCCAGTTTCACCAGGACAGGTACCTGTATTGTACTACTACAGAGCTACTAGTAGAGTACTACAGAGCGCCAGCGCTATAGGCGCTATAGCGCTGGCGCTCTGTTTGACGGTATAATACCGTAGTAGTACAATACATCTCGGCGTCATAGCGGGCGTTAGTTTAGCGCTCTGACGCGCGCTAAGTATGTACGCGTTCTGTTTGACGAAGGCTTTAGAGGGCCAGGGCTTGGGCGAGATCCGCCTCCCTGCCCCCCGCTCGACGGCGGCGGGCTTGTGCGTCTCTCACGCGGCCCGCCGCTTCCTTCTGAGAGATGGTGCACTCGCAGAAGTCGAGCATCGCCTTCCACGACTCGTCGTCGCCGAGCTGAAGACTGGCCGTCGTCTAGTCCCCATCTTAATCCGCTGGATTATGATTTATGGTCAGTTTTAGAGAGTACGGCTTGCTCTAAGCGCCATGATAATTTGGAGTCTCTAAAACAATCCGTATGCCAATCGGGCAGTAAAAAAAAAATTCCCATGGAAAGAGTGTGTGCTTCTATTGATAACTGGCCTCAACGTTTAAAAGACTGTATTGCAGCCAATGGAGACCACTTTGAATAAGCTTTTTATACTTTAAATTGTTTTATATTTATGTATTAAACTAACACATTGTAAAAGTAATAAATGTTATTTGCCATATAAATTTTTTTGTTTTCCTTTGTACAGTATTTATGGCCAGACTAAGTAATTTTAGAGGCATCCGCTACAAGATGTCGAAGAAGGCAATGATAATGTTATAGAGAATGGCGTCAGCGACGCTA